AGCGGGAGCTGGAGCCCCGCGCCCCCGGCTCATACGCGCCAGGTAGGGTAAGCCCACGGTGCCGCCGCAGCCTTGTCGTTCCTGCCCCCACGTCCCGGAGTCCCGCGGGCCCTCGAGTTCTGGGGCGCCCTGGCTGGGACGGGCAGGGGCACCCAGACAGCGCTCGCCCGGAGCTCCGGAAAGCGGGAGGACAGACCCAGGCGTCCCGCATCTCTTCCCCACAAAACGCACGCCGCGCACGGTGCTCCTTCGTTCCTCCTGCCCCTCTGTCCGTTGGTCCATCTTTCTGTCTGTGCCTCTGTCTTTGTCTCAGTCTCTGGGGCTGGATTGCTCCCTGCCTGGGTTTTGTGGCCCAGGCCCCTGAGGTTGCCCACTTCCAGGGTCTGTCTCCTCCGGGGGTTCTGTCCCCATACGTCAGAGCTTTGGTCCCTGCCACCCCTGTGGGAGGCTCGTGCTCTTGCCGGGTTTGGGCCACAGCCCCTGTCTGGGTCCCTGTCCCCATCTGTGTTGGTCTTGACGCTTGCCTCTCTCTCCTGTTGGCATGGTTGAGCTGCTGCTTTCGGCGGGTACCCACGGGATCCCAGTCCCCTACCCTTGCACCAGCAGGAGATGAACTTGGGGAGCTGAGGGGCAAAGAGAAGCTTCTGTAGCCAGGACATGGGGGTCCGTGAACTAGCGGCTGCCCTTCTTCAGTCTCAGTTCCCCTCTCCTAGCTGCCCGAGCCTCCGTGATCATGAGAGCCTGTGGGGCCCTAGGTGTCTGGGAGAGCAGCAGGGAACCTGATGGGGTGCAGAGCAGGGGGAGGAGAGGCTCTCTGAGGGCCCGACCAGGGTGAAAAGGGCCCTGACCCTGAGGATGGGGAGGTTGGAGATGGTGACTTTTCTGCTCGGTTCTGAGCTGGAGAGAAAAGGAAGACAGAGTCTCAAACAGCATTCTGCGTAGAGCTAAGGTGTTCGGAAGTCTTACCTTCGGCACTGTTTTGAGATTCTGACCAGATGAACTGTCCCCACCCCGGACACACACATATACTCACGTCTACATTCCCTGTTGACTTAGGACCTGTGGCCACCTCGGCATCCCTCCCTGGGGCCACCTTGCTGCCTAACTGCCCGCACCTAGAGTTTCAATTGCTTCCTCAGTCAGGGGGACTCTGGAAATGGCTTTTTAAAAGACAGAGGCCAGGACCCTTGGGTGCTCACCAGGGCTCTAGTCTCCCTAGGAGTTGGAGACTACCCTGTAGAGACTCTTCCTTCCCTCTTCCTTAGTGGGTTCTTGGCCAACAGTGGCCCCTGTCAGGAAACCCAAAGCTCAGGATGGGCACTGGACCTTAAGTTTGTAAGTCTGACCCCGTCTCTGCTGCCAAGTTGTTGACCTTGGGGTCCTGGGAGGCTTGTGCAGGGTCTTGGACTCTTTGATTCACACTGAGATTGGTGTTGGCTGGAGTCTCCTGTTTGCTCGGTGTCTCCCGCCCTCGCTGCTAAGTTTGGGATGGGCACAGGGCCCACCCCCAGACCTCGATCAGGGCAGGGCTGAGAGGCCAAGGGGTGTCCCAGGAGGTCCTCAGCTTAGTTAGTGACATCGCCTCTCCCTGGCTCCTGAGTGCCTGCCTGGGAAAGGGGTTTGGGGGAGGGAGAGTCGGAAGGAGTGGCCGCTCTCAGATTCCACTTCTCCCTGTCTGTCTGTCTGTGGGTCTCTGCGGGAGCTGGGCCCCTTCTCATCTCTCTTCCTGTCTGTCCTTTCCTGCTCTTTGTCTCCCCCTCTCTTTGCCTCAGCTGCTTCTACCCTCGACCCCTGGAGGCTCAGGTCTGCTGGACCCACCCACCCCCTTTGTGGCCATGGGATCGCCACTTAGGCTCCTGGCCCTGCTGCTGTGGGGCACTGTGGCTGAGGGCCCCGCCAAGAAGGTGCTGACCCTGGAGGGGGATCTGGTGCTGGGCGGGCTGTTCCCGGTGCACCAGAAGGGCGGTCCCTCGGAGGAGTGCGGTCCCGTCAACGAGCACCGCGGCATCCAGCGCCTAGAGGCCATGCTCTTCGCGCTGGACCGCATCAACCGAGACCCGCGCCTGCTGCCGGGCGTGCGCCTGGGTGCGCACATACTGGACAGCTGCTCCAAGGACACCTACGCCCTGGAGCAGGCGCTGGACTTCGTGCGTGCCTCGCTCAGCCGGGGCGCTGACGGCTCGCGCCACATCTGCCCCGACGGTTCCTATGCCACCCAGGACGATGCCCCTACTGCCATCACTGGAGTCATTGGCGGCTCCTACAGTGACGTCTCCATCCAGGTACTGGGGGGCTGCTCAAATTGGGGCTGGAGAGAGAGGCCAGAGGTGGGGGCCCAGGTTCCTGCCCAGTTCTGTGCCTTAGTTTGCTCCTTATAAAACGAGATGCTTGCCGCTCTTAGGGTTGTGGTGGGAATTTAATGAGGTAAAACATGCACAGAACATATCGGGGGCCTGGTGAGTAATAAAGGCATAATCAATATTGGCTATTATTATTAACCCATTTCATAGGTGAGGAAACTGAGGCTTGGAGAGATGCTGTAGGGTTCTCAGCCAAGGGCCTCCGGGTATGGAAAGGGGTGGAAGATAGAAGCCAGAAGCAGCCCAGGAGAGAGAAACAGGGAGGGAGAGAAGCAGAATGCATCCATGGAGGTGGGGGGACGGTCGCCTAGGGTCTCCAGGGTAGTTGCAGGTATAGACCTAGCTTCCCCCTTCAGGACCTGAGCCTCACCTGCTCTCATCTGCCACCATCCCACCAGGTCCTTGGCTGGACCGCACTCTTGGGGGCAGGTCCAAGCTGCCCGGGGGTGGGAGGGGGTGCCAGGCAGTCAGTGGTAAACAGGAAGCCTTGTTTATTTCAGGCTCAGGCATCCAGTGGAGACCAACCCCTTGGGCTCTAGGGGCCATGGGGGCCCTTAGATCTGGGTCTTCCTTCCTGGGGGAGCCTCTTCTTTCTCCCTCATCCCATCAGGATTGACTCTGGGGAAAGGTTAACTGCCCCAAACAGGTAGAGGGCCTGAGAGCCCTGAGCATCCCAGACGCCATCTGGCGCCTCCCTCTTCCTTCTGCGGCCAAGGGCCAATCTCTCTCCACCCACCGCTTGGGCTTTCCCTCGGCTCTCATTTTTGCTCCTGCCCTGTGTCTGAGCGGGGACAGCAGAGGGGTTCAGGTGTGGCTCAGGACCCTGGTGCCTCGGCCCTGGGTCTCTCTGTTCTGGCCCTTGGGAAGGGGTAGAAAGCTCTCTGTCCCTGAGGGGAAGCCACATCAAGACAGGATCTAGGTCTTTGGGAAGAGGTAAACCTCATGGCTGGTCACGTGATACTTGATCCCAAGGTCAGGTAGGTTTGGGGACACCTGTGTCTCTGATTGTTGCTCTCTCTGCCCCTCCCCCCAGGTGGCCAACCTCCTGCGGCTGTTCCAGATCCCACAAATCAGCTATGCGTCCACCAGCGCCAAGCTGAGCGACAAGTCCCGCTACGACTACTTCGCCCGCACGGTGCCCCCCGACTTCTTCCAAGCCAAGGCCATGGCCGAGATTCTCCGCTTCTTCAACTGGACGTACGTGTCCACTGTGGCATCGGAGGGCGACTACGGTGAGACGGGCATCGAGGCCTTTGAGCTGGAGGCCCGTGCCCGCAACATCTGCGTGGCCACCTCGGAGAAGGTGGGCCGCGCCATGAGCCGAGCCGCTTTCGAGGGCGTGGTGCGCTCGCTGCTGCAGAAGCCCAGCGCCCGCGTGGCCGTGCTGTTCGCGCGCTCAGAGGATGCCCGTGAGTTGCTCGCCGCCGCCAGGCGCCTCAACGCCAGCTTCACCTGGGTGGCCAGCGATGGCTGGGGGGCCCTGGAGAGTGTGGTGGCCGGCAGTGAGGGGGCGGCCGAGGGCGCCATCACCATCGAGCTGGCCTCCTACCCCATCAGCGACTTCGCCGCCTACTTCCGCGCCCTGGACCCCTGGAACAACAGCCGCAACCCCTGGTTCCGCGAGTTCTGGGAGCAGAGGTTCCGCTGCAGCTTCCGGCAGCGGGACTGTGCGGCCCACTCGCTGCGGGCCGTGCCCTTTGAGCAGGAGTCCAAGATCATGTTCGTGGTCAACGCGGTGTACGCCATGGCCCACGCCCTGCACGACATGCACCGCGCCCTCTGCCCCAACACCACGCGCCTCTGCGAGGCCATGCGGCCCGTCAATGGGCGCCGCCTCTACAAGGACTTCGTGCTCAACGTCAAGTTCGATGGTAATGGTGCCACATGGCCGGTGTCCACTGGGTGGCTGGCGTCCAAGGGTGGGAGGGGATGCAGGGCTGATGAAGTTTGGAGCCCAGGGTCAAGACGAGTAGTCATGCCAACAAGGTTGGCCTTCAGAGTTACGGGGGAATCGGGATCTGTGTGGACGGATGTTGGAGCAAGGCTGCGGCTGGGCTTGGTGGGGTTGATGTTGGGCTTGAGGTGGGTTGTCAGGACTTTGAGGCTGGATGGGGGACCGGCATGTGACTCCAGGCTACACCACTCCCCATGGGGCCTTGAGCACATCAGCTGCTAGCTCGAACCCTGATTTCTCACTGGGACCCATGATGATGATAGGGGTGTTGCTCCCTGAGTGTGGCTGGGAGACTTGAGGTTCACAGGGGTGGGGAGTAGAAGGGATTTGTGAGTTTCCTGCTGAGCATTTTCGGGTGACAGTGGTTACAGATGATGCCGAGGTTGGGATTCAGCTCCTTCTGGGACCAGTGTTAGTTAGGACTGGCGGGGCTGGAGCTGGGGTCGTCTATCACTGATAAGATTTAGCGGAACCAGGAGGGGACCTGTGGCCAAGTTTGGCTTTTGGGGTTCCCATGTGAAGTTAGGGGAGAGGAGTGTGGTGTGTTGTGATGAAGTTGGGGCCTGGGCTGGAAGGATTGGAGATTAGGTCCAGGGATGGGTTTGGGGGAGTTATGGTTGGAGGTCAGCGTGGGCTTCAGGTTCGTGGTGATGCCTGGGCTTTAAGGTTGGGGTTCCACTTGGGGCTTAGGGTTGGGGGTTGTTGCAGCCTCTCATTCGGCAGAACGGCTGGGGGTAAGGTCGGCTTTAGTGTGGGGTGCGGATCGGAAGGACAAGGACCGGCCCCAGCTGTGGGATCGGGGCTCCGTCTCAGGACGAGGGTTGGGGCCACATCAGGATGACCCGCCAACCCAACCCCCTCCTCCTTC